GTAATTGTCAGAAACAGGACAGTCAGGAGAAGAGCCAGTCTGGAAGCAAAGATGAGGGGTTCTGTGTTAAGTACAAGCAACTGGAACAATGGCAGGACATGCACATGAGTTGCAGCTGGGGGCTTCAGCTGAGGGCTTCCTGAGCCCCCAAACCTGGCCACTAGTAGCCATGTGTGGCCTCTCCAAGCCTAGGATAACACACCCAAGATGAGGACCAGTGTGCACAGCAGAATCTTGGATTTTACGGATGTCGTGGTGCTCCTGCATCACCATCCTCTGCTCATCTGGGATAGGCTGGGCTTCGGTTTGTGCTTGAGATCCCCCGTCACTAGGTCAGCTCTGTCCCCACCAGCATCCACTCCCCACAACCTTGCCCCATGGCAGACAGCAGAGTTGTTACCAGTCCCGCAGGAGAGTATGCAACCTGCTCAGGTCACAGAGGTTCCATGTGCAGGCTCTGGTTTGGATGCCGCAGAGCGCATCTGGTATTGTGACCTCAGCACCTCCCAGATGGCGGGTTCGGTGCCCTCATCTCTAAATGGGGATCGCAGGAGCTCCATCGTGGGGTCATGAAAGGACAGAACGACAGAACATAACCATGGAACACCAAGTAAAAGCTATTGAACACTTTAGTTCTTGCAGTTACTGCTACTGTTATTAGGGGTTGTTTGTCCTCAGGTATCCGCTCTCCTCCTGTGGACTCTGGGCCTTCTAGGACACTCAGTGTCCTTCAGGAACTTTCTGGAAAGCTTCAGACCAATGCGAGCTGCTTTGATATCTTGCCACCCAAGGCACCACTTGGGCCCTTCCCTGTGTGCAGCATCTACACCTCAGATAAATAGCAACACTGCACAACAGTGGCACATAAACCAGGTGTAAATAAAACAGAATAGTTTCAGATCTAGGAAATAGCTGAGAGGATCAGATAGCCTTTTTAAAAAGCTAATAAAAGGCTAGAGGGATCTAACTGCCCAGCTGGGGGTCGGGGCAGGTGTGGCGTCAGCAGGCAGCTCCAAGTGGCTCCTGCAGGTGACTCAGAACCCACCCCCAAGAAGGTACGTGTCCCCGTGTCCCCACCACTACTACTACCCCCACCCCAACAGGGAAGCAGCCAGAGGATGGAGGTGGGGCTTTGCTAACAGAGCACGGAGGCTGCCCAGCTGTGAGGACGTGAATGACAGTAACATAAAAGAGGATAAGAAGGGGGTGATGTTGAAGGACACCCACACTCGAGGTGGGAACAATAACGTGGTAACGGCTCCCACGTGGAAGGCTCCAAGCCAGCTCAACCCTGTAGTCACCCCCAGTCAATGGCAGAGGTGAGGGACAGGAAATGACACAGATGAATACTCAGGGGGTCTGTGACCTTGGATGAGCCCCAAAGTTTGTACTAATAGTACAGACTGAAACCTGGGTCAGCCTGGTGCCAGAGCCCACCATGCTCTGCAGTAAAAAGCACAGGCGGGACTGATCCAAGCAGCAGATGGGCCTGTCTAGGCAGCAGCACACAAGCCTCTAGAGGGGACAAGGCCACCAGGGAGGGTGCCATGGCCCATGACCAAGGGCCCAGCATGGCCTTCGTAACCAGCCCCTCTGGCCTCCTCCACCTCAGCTCCTGATCCCGCATATCCGCTACACCATGGAGATCAACACTCGGGCCAGAACCCAGCTCATCTCAGAAGGGGGAATATTCGATAAGGTGAGGAGGCTTAGGGTGCTGGGGGGTGGGGACACTAATAACCCGGCTCTCCGTGACCTCCTGCCACTTTCAGGAGCCCAGACTGTGGGAAAGTCAGTCTCAACTGTCTCAAACTCTGAGCCTGTCCCCCTACACTGTGTCATTCTGTGCAGCCCCGCCTCTGAGCCCTGTACACTATGCTCCATCTGTTCTCTCATGGCCTCTGCTCATTGTCGTCCCAGGTGGTGAGCACGGGTGGAGGGGGCCATGTGCAGCTGCTCCGTCGGGCCATGGCTCAGCTGACCTACCGTTCCCTCTGTCCTCCTGATGACCTGGCTGACCGGGGCCTGCTGGGGATCCCAAGTGCCCTCTATGCCCAAGATGCTCTACGGCTCTGGGGAATCATTGCCCAGTGGGTGAAAGTGGCCACTGAGAGATGGAGGGGCGCCAGGGCGGGGGAGAGTGGGGCTCTGACCTGACCTGAGGTCAGCATGGTGCCAAAATCCACAGGAAACAAGAAGGTCTGGACAGGAAGGGCAGGATCTGAACCCTGGGGAGACAGGAAGTCGGGAGGCAATGGGGAGGATCTAAGGATGGGGATGGTGAGACAGGAAGTGCCGATAGATGAAGCTGTGGGTGGGTAAACCCTGGGGTCTGGTGGAGTCAGAGATTTTGATGGAAAGAATGCTTTTCAGCCATGGGTCCAAAATTCTTAAAACTAATTCTTAAAATGTTTCCTTCCTTTCTAAATCAGTGTTTAGAGAGACCTAGGGAACATCCCCCAAAACAAGTCTTGTAAGATCTGTTCCCAGATCCAGTGGGAGTCAGCCGGGCAGAGGCTGCAGGAAAGGTGTGGAGCTGGGAGGTGGGCACATTCTTCTCTCAAGGAGCTCACCTGCCTACTCCTCTGGGTAGGTACGTGGAGGGCATTGTCCACCTCTTCTACCACCAGGATGACGTCGTGAGAGGGGACTCTGAGCTGCAGGCCTGGTGTCGGGAGATCACTGAGGTGGGGCTGTGCCACGCCCAGGAGCGAGGTAGGATCCCTCCCCAGAGATGGGAGCCCCTGGGACACTCTGCCCCGAGCCCCTTCTCAGTCCTGTCGCCCTGGGCTCAGGACCCCAACCCCTTATCACACCCCTCTCTCCAGCCAGGGACAAAGCATCTGAATCCCATTCCCACCTCCTAAGACTCCAGACTATTTTAGATATACAGGGGCTGTCCTGCTCAGACACCCTGGCCATCAACCTTTACCACCACCCCCTAGCCCGAGTCACAGATGACCCTAATCCACCAGAGCATGGGGCCCAATTAGACCAGAACCACAACCAGTGAAGGGTCCACCCAGGCTCTGCTGGGGCTTGTGTTCTTTTCATGGTTGTCTGCTTTCCCTTGTGAGGATGTATATAAATGCAAGGAGTTTCCACCAAAACACATGATGTCAATGCTGCTTTCCCTTCCTTCCCTTCCTGCCTGCTACTGTCCAGCACACACGTGCACACACACACACACACACACACACACACACACATTCTGGGTACACTGCACATTTCCCACAGTATAGTCACCTCCAGGACAAGCTCAGTACTGTACAAGCACTGGCACAAACCGGAACTCCCTGCAGAGTTGCTCGGTGCCACATTTCTTTATTATTTTTTTTTAAGATTGTATTATTTATTCATGAGAGACACACAGAAAGGCAGAGACACAGGCAGAGGGAGAAGCAGGAAGCCCAATGCAGGACTCAATCCCAGGACCCCGGGGTCACGTCCTGAGCCAAAGGCAGATGCTTAACCCCTGAGTCCCCCAGGCGTCCCAAGGGGCCAGGTTTTTGGGACCAATCTTACCTCCCCTCCCCTTGGCTGGGATCTAGCCGCCACTGTGAGCAATCCCACCTGCATTTTCACCTCTGGGGAAGAAACAGCCTTTCTCATCCCTCCTGTGCTGCCCCTCACTCATCATGCCAGCACCTCTGCCTCTGTGGGACAACTGCAGACGTTTATGAACCAGAGGGCCACTACGGCCAGGCCCGGGGATGCGGCCAGCAATAAACCAATGCCTGCACTCACCCTCCCGGGACCAAACTCTGCCTTGCATGTCTCAGAACCGTCCCTGAGGTCCCACATGCCCCCAGAAGACCCCTCTTCCTTGCTCTCCCTGCTCCTCTTCTCCACAGCCACTATCTACATTTGGGAAACAAAAATAAACATTCATATGTCAGCTTTAATCTCCAACTGCCTCTCATCTTCTCTGTCTCCACCCCCCTCGGTTCTCATCATGCACTTTGCCTAATTTTCCCAACAGCCTTTCTAGAGGAAATCCACTGAATTATAAACAGCTTGAGAGCAGCAGTCAGGAACCTGAATTCAAGGTCAGCCTTGGCCTCTTCCCAACTATGCGATCCTGACAAGCAATTTTCTCTCTCCGGTCTTTTTTTTCTTTCTTTCTTTTAAATCTACAGAAAGGGACTGATTATATTTCTTCCACTTAACCGATAGAATTAGTGGCTCTCGGAGTCACCACCTCCACTGTAAAATCAGTTGCCCGAGATAACCTTTATGGAAAGTTTCTCTTGCCTGTGACACTATGAATATGTGATTTCTCTTGTTCATCACTTTATAACTCAGGCACTTACAATCCCCTTTTGGGAATAGGAGGAAATGTCCCTCCTATAAATAAATTTTATTTATTTACTCACGAGAGACACAGAGAGAAAAGCAGAGACACAGGCAGAGGAAGAAGCAGGCTCCCCATGGGGAGCCCGATGCAGGATTCGATCCCAGGGCCAGGATTGCGCCCTGAGCCAAAGGCAGCTGATGAACCACTAAGCCACCCAGGCATCCCTATCCCTAACTTCTCAACCACTTTTTGAGGCAGAAGATATTCAATCACTCAGACTTTTCAGCCCCCAGCCCCTCCACAACAATTATTATTTATGGAGCATTTATTATATACTAGGTGATTTCAATATAGTATCTCATTTATAAAGTGGGTATCATCCACATTTTATAGGTGAAGAAATGGAAGTTCAGGGAGAGATTAAGTAATCGGGCTAAGGCACCCAAATTATATTGCTTGAACCTGAATTGAAACCCAGGTCTAATGCAAATATATTTGAATAAATAAACAAATGAACAAATACCCATCAATGCTAAAATACAGTTGACCCCCAAACAATGCAGGAAGGAGGGATGATTTGGGGCACAGACCCTTCCCCACACACACCGAGCAGTCAAAAATCTGCAAATAACTCTGGACCTCCCCCCACCAAAAAACAACAACAAAAAACTACTAAGAGCCTACTATTGACTGGAAGCCTTACCAAGATCATAAAGAGTCAATTCACCCGTATCTTGCATGCTCACATATGGTCAAATGAACTAGGGAAGAGAAAAATATGAAGAAAATTATAAGGAAAAACAAATACATTCATGTACAATAAAAAATTCGCATAAAAACAGACCCACGCAGTTCAAACCCAACTCGTGTAGACATCACTTCCCTCTTCTCACCCTGGAGCCTCTAAATCCTGTTCCTCTCTGCCAGGTTTCCCCATCTCCTTCCAGTCCGGAAGCAACTGTGCCACTTCCTTACCATGTGCATCTTCACATGCACTGCTCAGCATGGGGCCATCAACCAGGGCCAGGTAGGACAGCCGAAAGCCCAGGTTCCTGAAAGCAAGTGTCTGGCCCTGGGGATTCTGAAGGGAAAGCTTGGGGTTCAAAGCATAAGGATCAGGATCCTAGGGTTGCAGTTTTCTTCCCCCAGCTGGACTGGTATGCCTGGGTCCCTAATGCCCCATGCACAATGCGGATGCCCCCACCCACCACCAAGGAAGAGGTGAAAATGGCTACAGTGATGGGCTCACTACCTGATGTCCGACAGGCTTGTCTTCAAATGACCATCACGTGGCATCTGGGTCGCCGCCAGCCAGACATGGTAAGAGGGGACCCTGGAAAAAAGGGAAATTACAGTTGGAAGGGAAATCAGAGTGAAGAATCTGGCTCTACACACTTCTGCCTCCAGACTAGGAACTGACTGATCCTTTTTCCTTTCCTAGGTGCCTCTGGGACATCACAAAGAAAAGTATTTCTCAAGCTCCAAGGCCAAGGCTGTATTAAACCAATTCCAAACAAATTTGGAAAACCTAGAAAGAGAGATTACAGCCCGGAATGAGCAGCTCGACCTGCCCTATGATTACCTGAAACCCAGCCGCATAGAGAATAGTGTCACTATCTGAGCCCCGCAGTATCCCCCCCCCCACACACACACACACAAGACTTCAGATCGGCTCTGGGGCTCACATGCCCATCTCGAACGTCACGGTTTCCAAAGTCTCTGATGCTAACACTCTATTTTCTCCCCCAACCAAATCCCCTATGTCAGTATGCCACTAGCCCAGGGTGGGGCGGCAAACCTCTTCTGTAAAGGGCCACATAATAAATATTTTAGGCTTTGTAGGCCACAGTCTCTGTCACAACTACTTCCCCTCCCCTGATAGAGCAGAAAAGCAGCCCCAGATGACATGTAAGTGCATGAGTGTGACCGTGTTCCTGGAAAACTTTATGAGCAGTAAAGTATGAAAGTATGAACTGCCCGTGTCACAAAATAACTCTTCTTTTGGTTTACTCCAAGCATTTAAATATGCAAACAGAACGCATAGGGACAAGCATAGGCTGTGGGCTGGATTTGACCCTCAGGGGCAGTATTTGCGCAGGGCTACGTCGCACTAGCCTGAGGCATTGATCCTACTTGCCAAACATCCAGAGAATGATCAGAGGTGGGACACAGATTTCTTGCATAAATCAACTACCTCAACTCTCCTTTCCCAGGACCTAGATATCCTGTATGGTGGCCAACCTAAAACTTCCTGACTCTGCTTTGGCAACTTTCCCTCCACTCTGTTCCCCCTATTCACACACCTACCCCCCCCCCAAAGTCCTTGAGTAATCCTTCCCCAGTCTCAAGAAAAAGAGACATAAAATTCATGTCCCAAGGCCACTTTCCCAGCCTCTGTAGTATCTTGGGGTCTATGTGTTTCTCTGGATCCAACTTCTCTCTCACAACCTGTTTAAGAACGATGTACATAAAAAAAAGAACAATGTACATAAAATAAATGAACAAAAAATGCCATAAAGTTGTTAATCACTGTTAGTGTCTCTTTGTGTCATTCTGGGGTCTTGGGACCCAAATGACCCCTTCCAACTGTGCTGTGATCATTATCCTCACCAGAATGGGTACAACAAGCTCAATGCAAAACTGTGTTCTTCAAACACCCAACTTCCCGAAATAATTATTACAGATCTGCCTCTCACTGGTGAAGCATACAAACTTTTTCTTTGGAGGGGCACCTGGGTGGCTCAGTGGTTGAGCATCTGCTTTTGGCTCACGCGGAGATCCTGGGGTCCTGGGATTGGAGTCCCACATCCGGCTTCCCACAGGGAGCCTGCTTCTCCCTCTGCCTGTGTCTCTGCCTCTATGTCTCATGAATAAATAAAATCTTTTTTTTAATTTGGGTTCTTCTGTTTTTATTTTTTTTAAGATTATTTATTTGTTTATTTATAGAGATGCAGAGAGAGAGAGGCAGAGACACAGGCAGAGGGAGAAGCAGGCTCCATGCAGAGAGCCCGACGTGAGACTCGATCCAGGGTCTCCAGGATCACGCCCTGGGCTGCAGGCGGCGCTAAACCGCTGCGCCACCGGGGCTGCCCAATAAATAAAATCTTAAGGAGAAAAAAAAACTTTTTCTTTGGAGAGGATGACCCATACATATTTTTAAAAAGATTTTATTTATTTATTCATGAGAGACACAGAGAGAGGCAGAGACACAGGCAGAGGGAGAAGCAGGTTCCTCACAGGGAGCCTAATGTGGGACTCGATCCCGGAACTGGGATCATGCCCCGAGCCAAAGGCAGACGCCCAACCGCTGAGCCACCCAGGCGTCCCCACCTATACATATTTTTTAAAATCTTGGACCTCACCTTCTCCAAAGGACCTATGATCGGTTTCCTTGGTTTACAGTAGAGAAGCAGTGACCATACCCAGCTCTCCAATACATTTAGCATGACCACTCACCCTCACCACCTGTTCCCTGGGTTTGCTTTCCCTGCGCTTTTCCTAAAGCCCACACTTTTCCTGGATTCTGCATCCAAAACTTGGAATTCAGTATTCCCTGTTTGGGAACAAAATGTTACTTAGGGGCGCCTGGGTGGCTCCAGCGGTGAAGTGTCTCCCTTCAGCTGAGGTCATGATCTCGGCGTCCTGGGACCGAGCCTCGCATCAGACTCCCTGCTTGGTGGGGAGCCTGTTTCTCCCTCTCCCTCTGCCTACTTACGCTCTGTCAAACGAATAAAAAATCTTTACCCTCCCCCCCAAAAAAAGTTACTTAATTAAGCACTCCCGATGCCAGGAACCCGTGAAACTTCAAAGCGCTCCGGCCCCAGCTGCGCTCGGCGTCGGGCAGGGGGTCCGCATATCCTTTCACGGTGTCACAACATCTCCGTCTGGAGGCAGGGATGCGGATACGGGAGACAGGGGCGTCTCTCCCGGGGTAAACCCCCAAGTCTCACTTACCATGCCCCCATGACAGGACACCACCCGAAAAAAGGTATCTGACGGGAAAGCCGGGTAGTTCGGATCCCCAGCACCTAAGAGCCCGTCGCCCGGGTGACCAGGGGCTCCGCCAGACCCGCTCGGCCCTAGGCCCGGCGTTTGCGGGCTCCGCGTCACGTGACTTGCCCGAGCCAGTCACGTGACGTGCTGGGTCCTTCCATCCCGGCCTGGCGGTGGCGGTGGGGGGGGACAAGAAGCGGGAAGCGTTGCTCCCACGATGCCCGCGCCCCCGCTACACGGGTCCTAACGGGCTCCTGAGGGGCTGCCTCGGCCTCACACACCGCCTTCCCTGCTGGGGACCCGGGAGGGCCCGGACGCGCCCCGCCGTCCCCGCCCGGCGCCCCCCACCCCGGCGCGATGGTGGAGGCCGGAGGCCACGCCCCCGTGGCCGAGCTCCCGGCGGCCCGTCCTCCGCGGCGCGAGACCCGGAGTCCGGCTCGCTCTTCCCTGGCGCGTCCGGGCATTCCTCTCGCCGCCTTCCTGCTCGGCCCGCAGCTCGGCGATCCCCGGCCCCCTTCTTCATGGCGTCGCTCCTGTGCTGTGGGCCCAAGCTGGCCGCCTGCGGCATCGTCCTCAGCGCCTGGGGAGTGATCATGTTGGTGAGGGGACCGCCCGGCGAGGGCCGGACCGGGCCCGAGGGGGCCCCGGGGACGGGGGCCGGAAGGCTGGGAGCCTGTGGGCCTTAGGAAGCAGCAGGCAGTCTGGATGGGGGTGGGGGGGTGGTGATTAGCCGCTGGGGAACGAGACAGCCGAGATTGAGAAATGGGGAACTCGAGCGGGCGGGGGGGTGGAGCTGGAGCTTGGAGCCCGTACCACAGCTGGTAAACCTGGAGACACTTCCCCACCCCCCCATCCCCCCGTTAGAGGAGGAAGAGCTGGGGTCTCGAGCGATGCCTTCGCTGAGTGGAGGGCAGTGCGGAAAGGGGACGCTTGTTCCCCAAATGGGCATCTGGTGGGGGGAGGGGTCGTGTTTCCCCAGGATCACCCGCCCCACTCTAGGAAGAAATCCTAGGAAGTGCTGATTTCCCCTGACCGCTTCCTCCCTGTCCCATGACAATGACGCCCCTGGAGAGGAGGATCATCGGGTGGCTCACTGTTGCTGCCTTTGCACCAGCTCACGCCCTGATCCTGGTTCCAGCAGCAGCCACCCCAACCCCAGCGCGTTCTGGTAGCTCCCAGACCCAGATGTTGTGGCTACAGAAGTGGGAGGGGTTTAGAGGCGGACCAGGTTAGGTGCTTGCGTTCAGCAACCTATCCGTCACCTCTTTGCAGATAATGCTCGGAATTTTTTTCAATGTCCATTCCGCTGTGCTGATCGAGGACGTTCCTTTCACCGAGAAAGATTTTGAGTAAGTAGGTGGGAGAGACGGGGCTGGGGGCAGGTTTGCGAGGTGGCAGAGGCGGGGCTGGAGGGCAGGTGTGCAAGGTGGCAGGTAACTGCAGGTGGCAGGATGCTTGCGAGCCCCGCGAGGCTGGAGAACTGCGTGCAGGGAGCTTTTCTCCGTAGCGCACTTTGGAGTCAGGCCTCAGCAGCCACCCCAAACCCAACACTCCAGATGTGGCTTCCTCGGTAGTTTACCTGACTTCCCCGGGCCGCCCGGTGGGTGCAACCTTAAAGCTCACCCCATAGGGTTAGGAGGAAGCTCGAATAATAGGTGTACAAGCGCTTGGGATGGTGCCTGGCCACAGTGCCCGGGAAAGGCTGGCCGCTAGGAATGCTTCTGACACTCGTCTACCTGATCCCCACCCCCAGGAAAGACCCTCAGAAAATATATGACCTTTACGAGCGAGTCAGCTACAACTGTTTCATCGCCGCGGGCCTTTACCTCCTCCTCGGAGGCTTCTCTTTCTGCCAAGTTCGGCTCAACAAGCGCAAGGAATACATGGTGCGCTAGGCACGGTCGCGTCTCGCCTGTCCAGCTCCCGACTCTATTTAAGGACTCTCTCCACCCGCCCCCATGCCGACGCCCTCCGTGGGATCCCGTTTCCCTGCGGCGAGACTGAACCCCTGGTCCTCCGGTCTCCGGCCCCCGCGGAGGGAGGCCGGGGCTGGCCGTCCCCCGTCCGCCCACAATAAAGCGAAGCTGCCCTCCTGAGCCGCGTGTCTGTGCTTGGGTACTGGGACGGGCACCGGGTGGAGGGTGAGGGCGCTGCAGACCGGCCTCCGAGTCCCGACCCGCCGACGGAAGTGGAGTGAGGCCGGCCCGGAAGTGAGGCGGGGTCTTCCACTCCGGCCTCGCTGGGCGGGCGCCGCCGCCGTCCCCGCTGCGAGGAGGCGGGGAGCGGCCGAGGGAGCCAATCGGCTGCGGGGAGGGACGGGACTTCCTGCAGTGAGGCCCGAGCCGCTCGGTCGCCCGGCTCCCTGGTCCCCGGCGAGGAGGAGGCGGCGGCGGCGGCGGCGGCGGCGGCGGCGGTGGCGTCTCCTCGGTGGGGAGGCGCGCGGGGCCATGACGTCAGCGTCCACCAAGGTTCGCCCTCGCTCGCGGACAGCGCTCCCTGGCGGCCACGGGAGGGCGGCCCCCAACCCCCGCCCTGCCGGCGGCGCCCGCTCTTCCGCCCGGGGTGAGGGGCGGGAGCCGGCCGGGGTGGGGCCAGGGGCTCCGGGCGGGACGGCGCGGGGGTGTGCGCCGGCCCCCCGTGACGCCGCCCCGCCCCCAGGTTGGAGAGATCTTCTCCGCGGCGGGCGCCGCCTTCACGAAGCTCGGGGAGCTGACGATGCAGCTGCATCCCGTAGCCGACTCTTCCCCCGCGGGGTACGTGAGCGGGGCCGGGCCGCGGATTCGGTCACTGACGCGGACGCTCGCCCTAGGGCAGGGGCAGGTGGGAGTGCGCCCTGCGCCTGGCACTGCGCGGAGTGGGTGCGAAGAAGTGCCTGTCGGCGGAGGGCGCGACGGATGCACCGGCAGCCTGAGGCTCCCGCCCCGGACCCGGGCCACCGCTCCGCCCCGCTGCGGGCGCTGCGCACCGCGACCGGGGTTCTGTCCGCAAGACCCCCGCGGGTTGGATTGCCTTCAGCGGTCCCTGACAGCAGCCGCTTCGCGCTGGTGGGGGAGAGACTTTCTTCGTTATAACGTGGCTGTCGGGACAGGTGTGGTTGGTGGTCCTCAGGATTCCCACCGGGCGTTAAGAGCTTTTTTTTCTTTTCTTTTCAAGGAAGCCCTCTTTAGGGACCCATAGAAGGGGCCCCAGGGTCTGGGGGGTGGAGGCTGGTTGCTGTGGCCTGCACAGCCTGTGGGCTGGCTGCACACCCCCCTCTTTCCACTCTCGCTGTTCCCTCTCCCCTCTGACAGTGCCAAGTGGACGGAGACGGAGATAGAGATGCTGAGGGCTGCCGTGAAGCGGTTTGGGGACGATCTTAATCACATCAGCTGTGTCATCAAGGAACGGACAGTGTGAGGGAGGGTGGCCGGCAGAGGAAGGGGGGTGGGCACGTTCTTCCTCCGCACCCGCCTTCCATCTCTTCCTGAGAACTCCCAACTCTACCTCGCTGCTAGTTCTGTTAGCATCTCCTCCAAGATTAAGAGAATAAAAGAGTGGGTCAGAAGTTACTGAAATACTGTGGTAACCGGGACCTTCCAAGAATTTTATTTTGGGGGTTGCCCGAGATACCCAATAATTGAATTCTGTGATGGGAGTTCCCTGGTGGTTTATGCAGCTCCTTGGAGATTCTGCTGCGGTGTTTCTGGGGATGCTGTGATTCTGAACTAGTTGAGCGGGATCTTCTCCTAAGTCTCAGTCTACCTGTAGTTCACCAGGGCTTACCTGGTGGCCTTCCAGACCCGCACATCTCTCCCAGAAGAGAATGAGGCACTGGGTTCAGGGAGTCCACTTGTCACATTCTGTCCGTTCTGAGTGTACACAAAGCTTCAGGGGAAACCGAGAACCCTGCCAAAGGGGTGGGGCCCTGACGGTGATGCTCATGAAGGGGCTCCCCAGGATTCCTTCAGAGTGGCCCATTACCCCTGCCCCGCCCCACCCTTCTCTAAGTCACTGTGAGGACTCCCTTCCTAACCCACTCTCTTCTCTCCAGGGCTCAGATAAAGGCCACAGTGAAGCGCAAGGTATACGAAGACTCTGGCATCCCTCTTCCGGCTGAGTCACCCAAGAAAGGGCCCAAGAAGGTGCCGTCCAGTGTCTTGTCACCTCCTCCAGCCGCCCCTCCACCAAGCAGCACCAGTGTCCCTGAGGCCGGGGGCCCCCCCATAAAGAAACAGAAGGCTGGTGAGGGCTGCAGAGCTGCCATGGGGACGGGGGATGGGGGTAAGGTCCTGTCCAAGGTTCAAAAGTTCGCAGGTTCGGGAGAGAATCGGGGGCTGGGTCAAAGGACAGATCTCTCTTCCTTTCCCTGTCAGGGTTCCCAGACAGCTGCTGGGCTGTCAGAGGGAGTGGGTGCTTGAAGCTTTGGGAAGCTGGGGAGCAGTCAGAGAATCTAAAGCCCAGCTTACCACCTCCCCACCCCCCCAGATGTGACACTCAGTGCTCTGAATGACTCGGATGCCAACAGCGACCTGGTGGATATTGAAGGGCTGGGTGAAACTCCTCCAGCCAAGAAACTCAGCTTCGACCAGGGTAGGGGTCCTCCTCCTCTCACTCTCTGGCCAGTTGAAGGGGGGGTGGAGACTCAACTTTGACCAAGGTAGGGGTCTTTCTCCCACTCCCAGGCCAGCTGCAGGGGGGGCGGTGTGTGCTCACTTGGACAGCAGGGAAGAGTCCTCGCAGGAGCCCCCTCCTGTGCACAGAGGCCTCGGAAGAGAAGGTTCCCTGGTATGCAGTGCAAGGGGGTTGGGTCAGCAACGAGCCAGGTACTTTGGGGAGGTAGGAATGGTCTTGGCAACATTCTTGGGGCTCGCTCCATCTCGGCCCATTTTGCTTCCTGTTCCAGACAGCTTGACCCTGGAATCTGGCCTTCTCATGACCTCTGCTGATTCCCCTCTGCTCTCTCGCTGAGCCTTCCACCTCTCACCCCTGTCACTGTTCCCTCTGGACCTGTGGATCGCCCAGGACTCTGAGCAAGTCTGCACGAGAGAAGGTCAAGAGGCTGCTGGGGAAGCACACCTTTGCAGTTCTGTGCGAGCATCGGCCCCCAAGCCCTCTGACCTCCAACTGACAGACTTTTTTTTTTATACAGAAAACAATAAAGATTGTTCCCTCAGCTTGGTGCGTTTGGCATAACGTTATTGGGGCGTGGTGGGTGACGGCCTCCCTCCTGAGCCCCAGGGGCTCGGCCCCTCCTCGCAGTTCTCACCACCCTGCCTAGAGCAGCACAGCCAATATTGGCAGACTCTCTTCCCAGTGCCAATATTTCTGTGCTGCTAGAGCCAGGGGAGCTGGGTGTGGGCAACAAAGACTCTACTTTGCTCTCCAAAGGCAGAACCTAACTCCCAGGATCTCTGGCAGTCAGTATTCCTGAGGCTGCGCTGGGGACTTGAGAGGGGCTATTTCCAGTGCTTCCCGACCACCCCCCACCACCACCACCTCACAAAAAGGCCCGGATGTTTTGTGTGTTGCTTCTCCAGGGCAGCCTCTCAGGGCCAAGCCTCAGCGGTGCCTCCCCCACCCTCACCCTAACACCACAGTGTGGTCTGGACGTGGCCACAGTACCGTACAAACCACAGTGTGCTGCTGGGGCGGGAGCAGGACTGGGGTGGGCTGAGAGGAAGGGAGCACAAGATGGTGCTGGGAAGACCCCCACCACCCAGAGCAGAGACTTAGGGAAGGTTTAGAAGGCAAACATGGCACCAAGAAGCATTGGGGCGGGCGGGAGGCGCGGGGGCAAGCAACCAGGGCTAGAAGCTGACAAGCACCTGGAGGGAGACAGGCCTAAGGAGTGAGCTGGCAGTGTGATAAGACTGGAACCATCTTCCCTCTGTAGGAACTCTGCTCAGGGGATCCCTAGGGTGGGGTCGGAGGCAGAGGAAACTGGGAATGATCATGGGGGGCCAACATTCTGCCTCCCGACTCAGCAGAGGCAGGGCCCCAAGGCTTCCTGTGTCCGTCCCTCCCCACCCTGGGTCAGAACCCAAGAGAAAGCAAGGAGAGACACAAGGCCAAGGACAGCAGGGTTGGGAGTTGGCAATCCAGAGGTGGTGGGGCCGGAACATGGTAGGGAGAGGGGGGCCGGAAGTCGCCCTGGGCCCTGGGCCTGCCACAAGATGGAGGCCAAAGGCAGGAAATGGAGACCAGAGAGAGAGGGGAGCAGCAGGGCCCAGGAAGAGGGCTGTCTGGACCTGGGGGCCAGGTACTCAACCCCCAGCACTGTCCCCAGCCCCCACTGTCCCCCCAGGACCCACACCCGGCCCCCTACGACGACCCCCATCAGACCATCATCCACCAGGCCCAGGAAGGCGGGCCCACCCCAGAAAGCCACGTTTAAGCTGAGACAAACATGCCTCTCCCCACCCCCACCCAGGGCCTTCCCTCAGCCTTTCCCTCCTGTCCAGGACATGATTCTTAAAAGCACCCCACACCAAGCACAATCCAAGGGCTCGGATCCCTTCCACAAATCAAAATAACATCCTCTGAAACCTAAAAGTTTTCCCCCTACATCCCATTCCACCCGCTACCACCCCCCCTTCCGACACACCCCCCAAAACTCTTAGCAATCAGAAAGATCTAAGATGGTGGGTGTAAGCAGTCTTTTTAGGCCCTGGGGGATGCCAGACCCCCTCTCAAGACCCCTATTTGTCCCACACCAGATCCTGCCAAGGCCTCCTGCTCCTCACTCCAGCCTCCATCGCCCCCAAACTGAACAGCTGCCCCCAGCTCCCATTCTCGGCAGAGCCTTTGTGGGGGTGAAACAAATCAAACACTGTGCTAACGGCTGGGGGTGCTGGGGGGCCTTCTGGTCTCAGCCTTTGGTTCCCATCTGGGGGACTGAAGTTTAGGGGCACAGGGGAAAGCCTCTCCAATCATCCCCCCAGTTCCAAGACTGACAAAGCCCAACCCCACCCCAGCACGCACCTCCAAACCTCCCCCCCAACCGCCACGTCTCTCCTGAAAACAGGGGACACTTCCCTCCCCACTTACCTCAGCTACTCTCCCCTGAGATCCTGGTCCCCTATTTTGAAGGGAGCAAAATTTGGGGTGCATCCCTCACATTTGGGGTGCAGGAGAAAGGAGCCGCCCCAGTCGCATCGCTGGCCTCCTTCCTCTCGGCTGGCTCAGGGAGTGGGGAGTGCCCTAGGGAGGGAGGACCCCCACAAGAGAGCTCAGAAGGGGGTTCCTCCATTCCCAGTCAGAATTGGGGACACCCCCCAAACCCGTCCCAGCCCATCCGTCTCCAACTCGGCGGGAGAGGCAGCTGCAATGCCCCAGTCAGATTCCCCCAACACTACATTCCTCACCCCATCTAGAGGGGTCCCGGGGGCCCCAAAAAATCCCAAAAAAATCTAGGATGTTGGCAGGACGGTCCTGGACTAGCACGCCAAATTTGGGGTCCTCAGATAGCCCCGTTTTTTCAGGAAAATTCTGTCTTTCACCTGCCTCCCGCCAGCCCTGCTCTGTCCCGATGCCAATTTTGGAAGTCACTCCCTCCTTCCTCCTCCCCGTCTCTCCAGGCCCCCCCCCCACCGCACGGGGGCTGGGGTCCAGGAAACCTGGCTTCCAGACCGGGGAGGGGGGCCACTCCTCGAAGGGCTAGGGGCCAGGAGGTCAAGCTCATAGCCCCAGTCTTAGGGAAGCAGGAAAGCTCGATCCTCCCCTCCCCCCCCCCCTGGTCTCCGTGGTGGTTTAAGGAAAGCCTGGAGGATTGGAATCTGCCATTGCTGTTGCACAGGCAGGTTTTTTTCCTTGGGTTGGGGGGGTGGGCGGTGGGAGGGAGAGAGGGGAGGAGAGCCGAAGGGAGCGGGGACCCAGGCGTGCAGGGCCGGCCTGGCTGACCCCCTCGCCCCTGCGGCCGTGGGGGAGCCCCTCCCCCCACCCACCTCGCCCGCATTCCCAGCCCTCTGGCCGCTTTCTGTTTGGGGCTCTGACCCTAGAAGCTCTGGGAACATGAATCACCCCCTTGCACCCCACCACCACCTCCCCTCGCCCAAGTTCCAACAGCACCACCCTAGTCTGGGGTCTTTCCTTGACAGCTGGGACACCCTATGTCCCCCCCCCTTTCCCGGAAAGTGAGGTGTGCTCCCTTAAGAAATGGGGGTTCGGAGTCTGAAACCACCTTCTTTCCCTCAGATTCATCCAGGCCTCAGAGAAATAAGAGGAGATGTGCTGCCCCCATTACCTTTCTGGATTTCTCCCTTCAAGTCCTTGGGTGTATTTGGGGGTTCAGGCAAGAAAGAGATTTCTTGACTCTGGGGTGAGAGGGAGCTGGCTGTAAGCAAAGGACACCTCAAACCAGCATCATGCTCTGAATTAAGTGAACCCTCGAATCAACTTTGCCTTCATCAAATACACCCAGAGAGTGACAAAACACCCTGAAATAAGGACACCCCAAAACTTTAGTCTCCTACCGTGGGCCCTTGCCTTGTGTCTTTCCCTGGAAAAAGCCTCATGGCTATCTATCTACACATACAGAAGTCTATCCCCCCTCAAAGTAAGTTTCCACAACATTCAAATATAAAGCTTTGCTCTGCCTCAATGACCCACAATCACAGAAGGCCTTCAAACTTGCTCCCAGGTTCCTATTACGTTCCACCTCAAGCTAATTTTTAAAAAACAACAACAAAAAACCCTCCAAATTGAATTTCACATTCCCCAAATCTAACCTGAACCTTAAACATATATGGCTTTCCAAAACAGACTGCACCCCAAAATCAGCAAGACTATTCTACTTGAAATCAGATTATCCATAGACACCAAAGGCTATGAATCCCCCAAACAAAACCCTCATCCACCTCAAGGACGCCAAGTGGGATGTCCTGATATTCCAAGACGACAGTCTCCAAATTATGGGTGTCAGAATCCCCAAAACTAACAGAACTGCAAAATCAGCTCCACGCCTCAAACTCACCTCAGGCCTTCTGAATGCAGCCCTCCCCCCCCCCCCGCTCCCCCCCAGGGCCCAGAACAATCAAACTAAGTCCACATCCCCTAATAAGCATGCACTCACAACCAACCACATAACACAAAATCAACTCCCTCCTGATAGGAAAGGGAGTCCCCCCAGGTGGAAGCCCACCTCCAAACTGAGCAGAGACCCCCCCATTACCCCTTACATGCCAAAGCCACATCACCGTCCTGAATCCCTAGTGATCCGGGATTCCCAGTTCCTCAGAGTTCTTGCCTGCACCCAAATAAAGGTGTGCTCAAGTCTGAAGAGGAGGACCCCAGGCCCGGGTGCACAGCTCCATGGGTGATGGGCGGTCATTTCTGGGCGCCTGTGCAAGATGCACAGCCTGGCTTTGCAGCTACACTGATAGCTCTGCACCCTACCCCCCCCATAAACATTGCCACCCCCAAGTCTCCCCAGACAAAATATGAGGGTGAGACCCGTGCCTATCTCCCAGATCAGGAACCTAAAATTAGGGTTATCAGCCCCTCCTGCCCTCTCTCCTTGCTTTTACCGGGAGACCTTCCTTCCCAGTCTTCTTTCCTTTCTTTTTCCACCCCACCCAACTTTCGGATTAATGTTCACTAAAAATTCACCTCTACCGACCGATTAATAGTGTCTAGCTTAATTAGAAAAAGAAAAGCCTGAGCTCCCAAGGTTCAGACCCCACTCCTTGTCTCCCCTCCGTCTCCCTTCCACCCCCCCACCCCTAGTTCTCTTGCTCCCGGAGCCCGCTGGATTTCTCACCCCCAGATTAGGAACCCCAGCCTCGGAGGACAGTGTCCTCTGTCGCCTAACTCTCCCTCCCCTCGCCCAACCTTCGTCCCCTCCTAAGGAGGCCGAGGAACAACATGACCCGGCGCAAAGGGGAGGAGGACGAAGGTTTCAGCCGCTCAGACCTAGTGGATCCTGCGCCCCGGTCCGAGTGGACCCCGGCCGGGCGGAGACCGCGAGGCGAGGCTAGAGCTCGTCCGCCCCCTCGTGGAAGGAGTCATACATTGCCAGGGTTCGCCTCCCTGCCGCGCTGGACCCCGGCGCCCCGCCAGCCCCCGAGCGCAGCCGACGGGCGGGGGCCCGAGGCCCTAGTGAGCGGGGACTGGGGGAGGGCGAGCGCCCTTTGGGCGGGAGGCTGGCTCTCTGGATCCCTAAAAGGACTCAGAAGGGAGTCTGGAGCCAGAGTCCCGACGCCCGGGTCTCCTGCGCTTCTCCCGACCCCCCCGCCCCCGGGGCTTTCCCCACCTCCTCGAGGGGAAGCAGCTGGCGGAGCCGTCCGGTCGCATGACAATGGAAGGAAACGAGCTAGAAATCACATCCGTCCCCTCCAGGTCCCGCCCGATCCGAGCCCCCCTTTCTGTAGGCCCTGCTGCAGGAGCCTGTCATTCACACCGCACCCTCCCGCCATCTGAGCCCCTACGCGAGTCCACCGTGGCCTCCCCAAACCTGGCGCCTCGCTGAGCTCTCCTCTAAGTCCCTCGATACCGTACGTCGGAAGGGGGACTTGTGCTCCATTCACTCTCCAGGTCACAGGCACCCCCCTTCCAAAAGCCAATAACACCGCTTTTCGCTTGCCCCAGGCCCCCTCGACGACCCGGGGTCACCCACATTGTCCAATCTCGATATCCCCAATTCCAGAGTCCCATCCCCGGTCCCACGTTCAGAGGCCCAAGACCCCCGATGTGAAGACCACCCGGCGTCCCTAAGGTCCCGCCCTCGGGCCGGAGACCCCGCCCCGGGCTCGCCATCTGGAGAGCGCGGGAGGAAGGAAGGATACAGACCCAGGCGTTCACCCCACCTCCACCCCCGCCCCCGCCATCCCGGCCAGATAAAGGCGCCGAGTCCAAGAGGGGAGAGAGACCCCGCCCCCCTGAGAAGAGCAGCCGCAGCCCCTGCAGGACAGGGGTAAGGACCGTGGACTGAGGGAGCCGGGCTCCTGGGTCCCCGAGAAGAGGTTGCTGGTGGAAGACTGAGAGCAGTTATGAGGTTCCAGACTAGGGGGTCCGGGACCAGACAGTAACGGAATTCGGTGGTTCGGTTGGGGTTTGGAGGGGTGCGGACCGCAGGCCGTCCGAGGTGTCCGGGCAGGTGGCTCACTCGAGATTCGCGCGCCCGGCGAGGCCGAGGGGAGCGCGGTGCTGCACGGGCACCGAGCGCTGCAAACCGAGGGCGCTCCGGGCCGATTGCCTACGCTGGGCGTCGACGCCGCGGCCTGGGAGCGTCCAACTCGCGCCAGGCACCCTGGAGGGGTCTCGGGTGGGGGGGAACGAGCGCCGGAGAGCCCAGCCCATTAAGAATTAGATGGTTGGGGCGGGTGGGGGGCTTGGCTCCCGCTGCCCTGCAGCGGGGTGGGGGGGCGAACTGCGGAGGGAAGGCGTCTGAGCCCCGCCTGGGTCCCTGGGCGCCCGCAGGCCTGCGTCGCGATGGGTTCCACCGCCACCCCCGAGGGCGCGCTGGGCTACGTCCGTGAGTTCACTCGCCACTCCTCGGACGTGCTCGGCAACCTGAACGAGCTGCGCCTCCGCGGGATCCTCACTGACGTCACGCTGCTGGTTGGCGGGCAACCCCTTCGAGCTCACAAGGCGGTTCTGATCGCCTGCAGGTTGGAGGGGTAACTCAGGGGGGTGGGGCAGGATCCGAAGGGAGAGGGGTGGAGCCAGAAGGTCTTTGGCAGGGGATCCCAAGCCAAGCCTTCCAGAAGCAGGAGACTGGGGCACCTGGGTGGCTCAATTGTTGAGCATCTGCCTTTGCCTCAGGTCGTGATCCTGGGGTCCTGGAATGGAGTCCCTCATCGGGCTCCCTGCAGGGAACCTCTTTCTCTGTGTCACTCATGAATAAACAAAATCTTTAAAAAATAAATAAATAAAGAGGCAACAGGAGGTTGAGCCCCTCAGGGAATTGGGGGGGGGGAGGTGGGGCTTTCTACGGTGGCACGTGTCTCCCTGGGTTACCCAGGCCCTAAAGTAGCTTATCTGCCCTCTTTCCAGCGGCTTCTTTTATTCAATTTTCCGAGGCCGTGCTGGAGTGGGGGTGGATGTGCTCTCCCTGCCCGCCGGCCCAGAAGCCGGAGGCTTCGCTCCTCTTCTGGACTTCATGTACACTTCACGCCTGCGCCTCTCTCCAGCCACTGCACCAGCCGTCTTGGCGGCTGCCACCTACTTGCAGATGGAACACGTGGTCCAGGCCTGCCACCGCTTCATCCAGGCCAGGTGAGAGAGCCCCAGCTCGGTGTCCTCTGTTGGGTGAGGTGGCAGCCCAGGTGTCAAGGGCAGAGGCCAATTTTAGGAAAAAGCACTAACATCCATCACACTTGTCCCAGCTACGAACCTCTGGGCATCTCTCTGCGGCCTTTGGAGGCGGAACCCCCCACACCCCCGACAGAACCTCCGCCAGGCAGTCCCAGGCGCTCCGAAGGGCACCCAGATCCACCTACTGAGTCTCGCAGCTGCAGTCAAGGCCCCCCCAGTCCAGGCAGCCCAGACCCCAAGGCCTGCAACTGGAAAAAGTACAAGTTCATCGTGCTAAACTCTCAGGCCTCCCAAGCAGGGAGCCTGGCCGGGGAGAGGAGTTCTGGTCAACTCTGCCCCCAAGCCCGGCTCCCCAGTGGAGACGAGGCTTCCAGCAGCAGTGGCAGCGGCAGTGAAGAAGGACCCATTCCTGGTCCCCAGAGCAGGTACAGAACCTGGAAACTCAGGAATTTGTAGAGGCCAACCTCAGCTAGGAGGCAGAGCCGTTGGGCCTGGGTGGTCAGCAGCAGGGAGTGAGGGGACAGCACAATTAGATTTGGCTCACTGGTCAGTATGGCTCACCTCTAGGGGAAGGTCTTTGGCTCTAAGTCCTCCAGGTGAGACCCTCCCTCCACAAAATCTCTCCTAACCTTTTTCTCTGGGCTTGCCACCTGCCTAGGCTCTCTCCAACTGCTGTCACAGGACAGTTCAAATGTGGGGCTCCAGTCAATACCCCGCATCTCCTCACAGCCCCAGCTCAAGAAACCACTGGATCACACTCTGGGCAGGCTTGTCCACCACCAGGTAAGAGCCCTTCCTTTTACCTCCTCCTTGCCTTTTCTCCTGGGGCTGCTCCAGGCGAGTGTTTGGGCCAAAAGCAAAGGCCTGTCCCAGTTACTGCAAATTGGAATCACCTGGGGAGCTTTTAAAACTGCCATTGCCCAGGTCACACCCCACAGATCAGAATGTCTAGAAGTGGGAGCCAGGAATTGGTATTTTTTAAAGCTTTCCCTGAGCAGCAAAGCCTGGGAACTCCTGGCCTCTGCCCATCAGGGCTGAGTGCTGGGCCCAGGACTTGGCAGGGCCTCTCCGGCAAGCTGTGAAGCAGAGTAGTAGTCCAAGAGAGGACACAGAAACAGAAACCTCCACCCAGTAATTGGGGCCTGCACCTACCACCACCACTATTGAAGAGATTAGCAGAGTATTCTGCAGTCAGACAGACATGAGGTCGGATCTTGGCTTGTCCTCATATTAACCATGTAACCTTGAGTAAGTCAGATGAACTCCAGGAACCTTAGCAGTAAACTGGGAAAAAGAAAATCCATCTCCAATGTGGTTTGAGGATTCACTAGAATCGCCATTACCCATCCCTGCTCCCAGGAAGTGAATTTTTCAGCTGCCAGAACTGTGAGGCTGTGGCTGGGTGCTCATCGGGGCTGGACCCCTTGGCTCCTGGTGATGAGGACAAGCCCTACAAGTGTCAGCTCTGCCGATCTGCCTTCCGCTACAAAGGCAACCTGGCCAGTCACCGCACGGTGCACACAGGTAAGGGAGGAGGGGGCCCTGGCCTTCCTGCCCGCAGGTGTCCGGGGAGGAGTCCCTGACCTCCCTTCCACCCTGCCTCCAGGAGAGAAGCCCTACCATTGTTCCATCTGCGGAGCCCGCTTTAACCGGCCGGCCAACCTGAAAACCCATAGTCGCATCCATTCGGGAGAGAAGCCCTATAAGTGTGAGACGTGCGGCTCACGCTTTGTGCAGGTACGCAACCCGTCTCCCAGCCCGCTCCGAGGCAGATTTGCAGGAGGGCGGGGCCGGCCGTCGGGGCGCTCTCTGAGGTCGCCCTGCTTCCCAGGTCGCGCACCTGCGCGCGCACGTGCTCATCCACACCGGGGAGAAGCCCTATCCTTGCCCTACCTGCGGCACTCGCTTCCGCCACCTACAGACCCTTAAGAGCCACGTTCGCATCCACACGGGAGAGAAGCCATACCACGTGAGTACCTGCGCGGGTGGCCACCTGGGGGCGGGTCTCTGAGAGCTCCTCGGAGTGGGCGGAGCCCCGGGGGAGAAGGGGCGGGGCCGCGCGTAGGGGAGCCCGCGCACCGAAGTGAGGCTCCGGGACCAGCCAGAGAGGGAGGAAACTTCGCTGAAGAGGGCGGGGCCTCTGTCCTTTGCCTCCTCCCGGGGATCCGGGAAGACGCCGGGCCGTGGGCTTCTCTTCTGCCAAGGGTTGGGCACTTGCGCATCGGGGTGCTCGCGCGAGGGGTAGGGAGCTGACCCGGCTGTCCTCACTTGTCCTCCCACAGTGCGAGGCCTGCGGCCTTCATTTCCGGCACAAGAGTCAGCTGCGCCTGCATCTGCGCCAGAAGCACGGAGCTGCTACCAACACCAAAGTGCAGTACCACATTCTGGGGGGCCTCTAGCTGAGCGCCGGCCGGATCCCACCCGGATCCCAATCGCTTCTCCGAAGCCGGGACGGCCGCGGGCTCACGGCTGGCTTCCCCCTCGGGCTTGGGTGTGCAAGGCCCCTCCAGTATCAGAAACTGCCATCACCACCTTCGGTTATCACTGGGGAGAGCGGGGGGTGGCAGATCTCGGCTTGATCTGCCTCTGTTTTGCTGGTCAAAACCTCTTCCCCACGATCAAAATGGTTTCTGGAGGAGACAGCCAGCTGGGAGTTGGGGGCGGGGAGAGACTGGCAGTGGGGGGGGTAATAGTCCTCCACCTGCAGCCCTCCCCTTCTCATTTGGTTTATCTGTAAATATAATTTATTGAGGCCTGTGGGTGGCACCAGGGCCTTCATTCTATTGCATTCCCCACTTCCCTCTTCTACAAGTGTGACCAAAAGTGACCTGAGGCACTGTAGGTGAGGTCACAGCTCTGCTGGCAGAGATTAGCACTTGGCTGTCTCCTTTGGCTTGACTATTTTATGTGTACTATTGTCATAACTTGTATCTTTAGAATTGTTGTTTCTCTTATGTGTGTCTGCTTGTTGGTTTGCTTAAAACAGAGAAAGGGTCCCTCTGTCCTGTCCCTCGAAATCCTAGGTCTGGAACCTTATTTGTTCTAGGGGCAGCTCTGTGGACATGCGGGGTTGTAGAATTGGGTCAGGAACCCTCTTCGATATTCTGGATATTGTAGGTTCTCTAGCGAGCTAGAACTGCATATAGACTTTCCTCTGGTTCCAAGACTTAGAGAAACGTTTTTGGTGAGCCAGAAATGGAAGTAAGAAGTGTTTTCTGGGGGCCGTTGATGTAGGGGCTTTGGCAGTCTTGGAACTGGAGGGATGATTGGAGGGGCTTTCTCTTATGGCCCCAACTGTCCTGTGAGTCTGGTCACCTAGGATTGGCTCTATTGTGTCAATCTGTCATGAGTTGGGCTTTCATGGAGCCCAGGATCCTCCCACTGGGGCCTGTTCCCAGCACTGGGTTGATCCCTTCTTTATCAGAGATGACTCAACCCTTTCTGATTCTGCCCAGAATGGTATGACCGATGCAAGAATTATTAAACTCTATCTTGACTAGAAGATAGAGAGTCATGACCAGTTCTTTACTGTAGCAGTGTCTGGGTTCATATATTCCTTGGGGTTCTCTCTACCTGAGACAAGCCCCTTCTTCCTTTAATGGGTTTTTAGACATCTTCTGGCAAGTGTCAGAATTTCAGAAACTTCTTTGCCTCTAGAAGTCACAGGTGCTTGGTAACTTTCTTACCTTAGAAAAGCGAAGTCTGTGACCTGGCCTAACCATCAATGCATTCCTGTCTGGAATGCACTAGAACCTTCCACAGGGAGACAAAAGGGGCTGAGTTCCATTCCAGATTCACTGTAGTTTGGGATTATGACTGGGATTACTGTTGGGATTAGGGATTTAGAAGATTGAAAAGAGTAATTGACTCATGAGCCTTCTGGTTGACCAAGTATCTGGGTAGGACTAAGAGGTTGGTTGAGGGGACATGGTCTCTGGTATAGGCCAAGTAGGTAGAAAGTTGGGAATGTTCTTAATTAGATGGAATGTCTGGAATGTGAGATGATACTCAGAAGCCTCCGTTTACAGTCCTTCTCCTGTTGCCTTGGGAGCTGTTTGATTGTGGGGTTTGGGTGGAGGTTAGAGAGCACTTTGAATTGTGTCCCATGGAGCTTCCTCAAGATAGGTCAGGACCAATAGCTGCCACTTGAGGACAAGTGAGAAAACAATTTTTCTTTATCATTCCCCCTTCCTGTCCACTGCAGGATTGAAGCAGGGAAAGCAGAAGAGAGATGTGAGAAGAAACTTTTTTTGTTTTGTTTTGTTTTGTTTTGTTTTGTTTTGTTTCCCAATTAGATGGGCAGGTGTAGACCGCCAAGGGGTAGAAATGTTAGATCTTGCCAGATCAGAGTCTTGGAATAAAGAAGTCTCTCTGTGCTGCCTGCTGTGTCCAGGTTCTTGTCTGAGAGGATTTGTGAATGGAGTGAAACGGGGGAAAAAGGGTTTCATTCCTCCTGGATTCCATCTTGTGTTCTGTGCCCATTTGACCACCCTATCCCATCTGACACTTTCAACGGCCCTGTTCTCCCCCTTCCCTACCCTTGCCTTCCGGCTCATTGTGTAGGAACCAGTGACTTCATGAAGTTTCTCCGGAGCCACCTGCATCCTGCTGCTCTGAAGTCACTTCCTGCCTGAGGTGTGGAGGCAGCAGGGAGAAACCAGGAAGTCACTAATAATATCAAGAGGCTGGGGGATGCATCTGTGCTGGGGATCATAATGCTTGGGACACTGCCTACCACCACCACCAAGGAAAATGGATAGGACTTAGGTCCCCTGAGGACAGGAAAGTGTGCAGGTGGCAGTGAGAAGGTTGATGTATGTGGTTAGAGCCAACAGCCAGCTCTACTCCTCCCCCAGCAGTGGAACCTTAGAATCTATCCAGTGCCCAAGGCATGCTTCTCTTGCACCCTTTCCCTGTCCCGTGTGTGTCTCGGGTGTGGAACTCTGTTCTGCCCGTGGGCAGAGGGTCACTAATTCTGTTAAGTTACCTCCCTTCTGGGCTTAAACTCTTCATCTGTGAAATAAGTCCATTAACATGGCCTGCAGTTCCTTTTGACATTTGTGGTTGTGTTTCTCCATCTTAAAACTCATGACCTAGATTAGAGACTTTTTAAGTAAAAAGAAAGGAAGAAAGAAAGAAAGAAAGAAAGAAAGAAAGAAAGAAAGAAAGAAAGAAAGAAACAGCAGCTTATGCCCTGTTGAAAATGAGGCCTGCTAATCTTATGTATCCCCTGCTACCTGTCAGGTCCTGAATGAAGCATTCTAGTGCATAGGGTTTCTAATTCGATTCTCCCTGACAACCCTCAAAAGTAGGTACTATTATTATCACCAAATTTACAGTTAGGAAAACCAGCTGAGAGGTTCAATGTCTTAGAGACCCTTAAAGATGACACACTGCTATACTAGGTTAAACAGACACATTGATTTCTAAGTCTCGGCGCATTTCCCACCAGCCAAAGTTTTAAGTCCACTTAACAAAGTTTGTTATTTCCCACATATAAAATTATAAGGCTCAGTTCACTCTTTGATATTACACAGCCCCCACGAGCCCAGGTGGCTCCATCGGGTAAGCCTTAAACTCTATTTCAGCTCAGGTCGTTGATCTCAGGATGGGGAGATTGAGCCCCCTGTAAGGCTCCACACTGAACAAGGAGCCTGCTTAAAATTCTCGCTGCCCCCTCTTTTCCCCCCAGCCCTCCCCACCCCTGCATGCGCCCACATGCACTCTCTCTGTAAAAACAAAACAAAACAAAAAAACATCCTCCTTCCCTAAGGTTGCAAGGTCAGGATCCTGGGGAGCATGGATTACAGTGGAGAAACAGAAAGCCAAGCCATCGATGTTACATATGGTGGAGGACTGCCTACTTGGGTAGGAGGAGTTGACTGCTCCCCTGCTAAGAGTTCTTGTCTTTCAGTCAACCCCATCAGGGGATCAAAACCCGCTGTTAGCAAATAGTTTTAGCAGAGGGTGGAGGAAAAGAGTTCAACCCCACCGAGGGAGGGGTGTAGGTGGTGCTGGGGAGGTCCTGAGTGCGCTCACAGCCGCCCTTCCTCTCTCGAGTTATTTTTGGTTTCTGTGACTTGTAGATTTCCTGTTAGCGACAACAGAAGCAACAGGAACTGAGTCGCCGCTGCAGAAACGAACGCCAGCATCCCACTGGTCTCGTCCTGGGCCCCTGAGCCCACGGGGATCCAGGCATGTAGGGTTTGGCGTGCTCAGGCGCTAGGGCAGGTATCTCGTTTGACTCCGCGCAGGACGCCTCTGTTCACCCCCGACCTGACCCTGCCATTGGACCCCCCATTAAGCAAGTGGGTGTCTTCCTCTCCTGAACCGGGTGACCCGCCACCTAGCCCCGTGAACTCCCCACGTGAGAGTCGCGGTGCGGGATATGTGGACAGACGGGCCGGTTAGGGGGCCGGAGACGCAGCAGCCTCCGGGTAGGTCCCTAGTCACGCGGGGCCCATCCAGTCGGCCTCCCGCGGTCCCCTCCTGACGCATGCGCTGCACTCACTGTCCCGGTCCAGTACACAGCTCTAAGCCCCGCCCCGCCCTCCGGGCTCCACCCCTGCACGGGAGTCCTGCTTCCCCACCCGCGGCGGGTGGACCCGGGCCGTGGCCAGGTCCGGCAGGTAGCTGACGCCTGCAGTGATAAGACGGATAACCCACCGGGAGACCGGCCGCCTCCCGGCTCCGGGCTGAACGTCTGCGCCCCCGGCTTCCCGCCCCGGACCGGTCCCGCCCAGGCCTCGACAGGCTGCGCTCGGCCCGCGGAGCCACACCCCCGGGAGCCGCTCGCCCCACCTAGGCAGCCCGGCTGGGTCCCTCCGTCGTCGGTGTCTTCCCCGGGGGCAGCAGCAGCTTGCGCTCCGCCGCGCGGCCGGGCGGCTGGGTGCGCAGAGGTGGAGGGTCCAGCGCCCTGCTCCCGCCCCGGGCGCGCGGGGCGGCGGCAGCCGGATCCCCTCGCCGATGGCGCACAGGGCCGAGCCCCCCGACGGGGGCTGGGGGTGGATGGTGGTGCTCTCCGCGTTCTTCCAGTCGGCGCTGGTGTTCGGGGTGCTGCGCTCCTTCGGCGTTTTCTTCGTGGAGTTAGTGGCGGCGTTTGAAGAGCAGGCGGCGCGGGTCTCCTGGATCGCCTCCATAGGGATCGCGGTGCAGCAGTTCGGGAGTGAGTGCCGCGCCGGCCCGGCGGCCTGCCACCCTCCCTCGGAAAGGAAGGGAGCTGCGGGGACGCGGGAGAGGACAGGGCGGGGCTGGGGAGACCCTGGCGGAGGCCACCGAAGAGCTTCGCGGACCGCGTCTTCCTCTTTCTCAGGCCCCGTGGGCAGCGCCCTGAGCACAAAGTACGGGCCCAGGCCGGTGGTGATGGCCGGGGGCATCTTGGCCGCGTCGGGGATGCTGCTCGCCTCTCTTGCTACCACCTTGACCCACCTATACCTCAGTATCGGGCTGCTGTCAGGTAAGGCCTGGGACGTGGGCAGGAGAGGGCTAGCCGGCTCCAGACTCTCACCTTTCCTGCCCCTTCCCAGAGGCTTACAGGAGGAGCTGGCACCTGTACCAGAGGGCAAGTCTTAGGAGGGATGACTAAAGTGATCAACATGGTGTGGGCATATTGAGAAATTCAAAGATGTGGAAGCCAGAATATGCAAGCCCAGGGCTGGTGGGGCTGGAGTGTAAGCAAGAATTAGCATAACGTTGTGCCAGGTCCTGTGGCTGCTGATATCATTATCCAGTTTACAAACAGACAAAACAAGGCTCTAGAAGCTTATGTAACTTGCCAGACCAAGATCATTCAGCCAGAAGTGGTATAGCCCGTGCCTAACTTCCAAAGTTCTGACCGAGTCACTGCTCTTATGGACAGTATTTCTGAACCTCCACCTGCCGATGAGGTGTATTACCTGCGTCTTGCAGATGAGGAGAGGAGAACTGAGGCTGGGAGAGTGAATAAAATGCACAGGGTCGTGCGGCTGGGAAGTATTGATACTAGAGTCCTAACCCAGGCCTGTGCTGCGTTCTCTTGCTACCCATGGTGGAATCATTGGGTGCCCTGGGCTCCCTAAGGGTCCCCCAATCCCTATTTCTTCCTTTTCCACAGGCTCTGGCTGGGCCCTGACCTTCACTCCGACCTTGGCTTGCCTGTCCCGTTACTTCTCTCGGAGGCGATCCCTGGCTACAGGGCTGGCACTGACCGGCGTGGGCCTCTCTTCCTTTGCGTTTGCCCCACTATTCCAATGGCTGGTCAGCCTCTATGCCTGGCGGGGGGCTCTACTGCTGGTGTCTGCCCTCTCCCTCCACCTGGTGGCCTGTGGTGCTCTCCTCCGCCCACTGTCCCTGATGGAGGATCCTGTTGTGGGGGGCCCTGGGGCCCAACTCACCTCCCTCCTTCACCACGGCCCCTTCCTCCGTTACACTGTTGCCCTCACACTTATCAACACTGGCTACTTCATTCCCTACGTACATCTGATAGCCCACCTCCAGGACCTGGATTGGGACCCACTGTCTGCTGCCTTCCTGGTGTCAGTTGTGGCAATTTCTGACCTCGTGGGACGTGTGGCCTCTGGGTGGCTGGGAGATGCTGTCCCGGGACCTGTGGCACGGCTCTTGATGCTCTGGACCACACTGACTGGGGTGTCACTGGCCCTGTTGCCCGTGGCTCACACTCCCACGGCCCTGATGACTCTGGCTGTGGCCTATGGCTTCACATCAGGTGCCCTGACCCCAGTGGCCTTCTCTGTGTTGCCTGAATTAGTGGGGACTGGAAGGATTTATTGTGGCCTGGGACTGGTACAGATGGTCGAGAGCATTGGGGGCCTACTGGGGGCTCCTCTGTCAGGTAAGAAGGACTGGGTTTCTGGGAGGCGGGGCTCAGGGCTGCCACATCACGCAGTTTAGGGAGGGGACTATTTGCATTCTAGTGTATGTGAATATTGCCCTCCAGTCTGACACAGAACACAGCCTGCATGGCTGGTCAGAGCAGCCCCCAAGTGGGTCCATGGGGCAGAGAAATTGGGGCTGTGGAAAGACCCAGAGAAGCTATGAGGGCCTCTTGGCAGGGTGCCTACAGCTTGAGGACCTGGCTGGACTGGGCCAGACATAGCCTGCAGGTGCTGTCTTTTCCCTTGACCTCCTGGGCCCCAGCCCAGGTGTCTGAGCTGTTGGGTCAAAGTTCTCTATGTCCCAGACGCTAAAACTTTCAGATCCTTGACTCTCTCCTCTTAACTATTAACTGGAAGTGTAGAAAGGAGGGCCATACTTGCTTGAAAGAAAAGCACAGGTGTGCCTGTCCACCCCTGGATACCCAAGTGTCTGCTGGCTGGTTTGAGAGGCCCTTTCTGAAGGCAGAAGGGTGGTTGAAATTACCCTCCAGAAATTACCTGTAGAAACCTTGAGACCCCAGAGTCCTCGAGCTCATCTGGTCCTGCCTTGTGAGTTCTAACTCTTCTGAGAAGATGGGTTAAGGATTACTCTCTTCCCTTCATCACTCTCAGGAAATGGCTCACCGATATGTGTTCTTTCTTTCTTTCTTGGACCTAGGATACCTCCGGGATGTGACGGGCAACTACACAGCTTCTTTTGTGGTGGCGGGGTCCTTCCTCCTGGCAGGGAGTGGCATCCTCATGACTCTGCCTCATTTCTGCTCCTTGGCCTCTACCTCCAAGCCTCAGGACCGCATAAGAGAGGCAGTTGAAACCAAAGTCTCTCTGTCCAAGGAAGAGCCAGAAGAGGACTAAACTCCAGAAAGGGGCTGTGAGACCCAGAAAGCCAGACATTGGCAGCACCAGATCTTCCCCTCCTGCCCCATCTTGGGGCCCACAGAACCACAGTGCCTTGAGCATCCTGATCCACCTCCCCCCAGGCAGGCCCGGCAAGGGGAAGTTGCAATGCAAGTGCCAACACCTAGTATTTCCTCAAGGCCTATTATCTCTCCTTTGCTCCCACAACCTCTGCCAAAGAATCCAGGGGCTCAGCCAGCTGCCCAGAGCTCAGAATCAGCTATGAAAATCAAAGGTCAAGAGACTTAACGTGTTTTACCTGTGATCTCTAGCATTGCCTACCAACTTTCTTCTCTGAAGACAGACATTTGGGAAAGAGGGATGCCCTTTTGAGATAAAACCGAATAAGGAAACCAAGTCATTGTCAGAAACTCAGAAAGAGCTGGGGCTCACGCCCTGGGGTTGGCTGAATGAGCTCATGGCTATGAAGTGGAGGGGAGGTATCCACTTTAACCCTGGACCACAGTTCCTCCCTGTGGCCACTGATCTCCTGTTTCTTGCTGTAGAAGACAATAGTGAGGACACAGGGTGGGGGTGGCCTGGGAAGGGGAACTAAAGCTTTGAGAGCTGAAGTCTGGTCCAGCATTTCCCTCAGGCCAGGGACAGGAGCCTGAAATGCAGGGAGGAGTTAGCAGATGGTCCCCTCCTGCCCACCCCCCTCACCCCAACACACTGAAATGCACAGGCAGGCAGCTTCTGAGAGATTCCCTGTTTTGTTTTTCTTGCTTTTTGGGAGAGAGAAAGAGGGAAGCGACTGTGAGGGAGGGGCAGAGGGAGAGAGCACTGGAGAATCTTGAGCAGGCTCCATGCCCAGCGGGGATCCCACTGGGGGCACAATCCCACGACCCTGAGATCATGACCTGGTCCAAAATCAGGTCAGAGGCTTAACAGATGGAGTCCCCCAGGCGGCCCCTTGAATATCTTAAGTAGAAAGAATGTTTTCAGCCTCCTCGATTGGCTAAGAGTTGGAGCTTGTGAGAAACTGGGTAGAAATTCTTTATTGGGGGAGTGGCTCAAACAAATGGTCAACAAGTGGTGTCCCGAGTGGATTGAGAGCCTCCTGGGGAAAGCAGAGCAACTTGAGTAGTGGGGAGCAGTTCCCCCCTCTCAGGGGGAGGAGAGGTGGCCTGCCGGGAGGCTGGCAGGGAGGCTGGTGGGCAGGAGGGCAGAGCCCCTGGCAGCCCCAGGTAGATGAAGCTGCCAGAGAGGATGAAAGAGCCGCAGGTGAGGAAGGAGGCCGTGAAGTCTCCCGTCTTGTCCCTTAGGAAGCCTGTGAAGAAGGGGAAAGGAATTCAGGGGCCTGGGACCCAGGGGCACAGGATGGTGGCCGGGGGATCTGGTGGCTCAGACCCTTACCTGACAGCGGGGGGCCCAAAAGCCCCCCAAGACTCATCAGCATCATCACCAGCCCTGTGGCCTGCACGACGCCTCCGAGGCCCACCAGCCCAGGCAGCACACCGAAAACCAGGGGCGCGTAACTTCCCGCGCTGAGCCCGTAGGCCCCCGCCGCGGCCAGCAGGGGCCCCTCGCAGCCCTCCGGGCTCCCCAGCAAGGGCGCCAGCCCCACTGCCAGAAGCCCCAGCCCGGTCAGGGCCCCGAACCCAGCCAGCAGCCGCGAGAGGGGCACCCAGCCTTGGTCGGCCAGCCAGCCGCTGACAAGTCGCGCACCCGCATCCCCCACCGCAGCCACCGCCACCACCAGCGCCGCTCCATACCCTCCCAAGCCCCGGTCCAAAGCGTGGGGGGCCAAGTGCACATAGGGGACGAAGTACCCGCCCCCGACCAGGGCTGTGCCCAGAGCAAAGACTAGGAAGGCCCGGCGCGCGAAGAGATCCAGGCCAAGCGCAGCCAAGGGCCCGCGGGGTCGCGCCGGGGGGTCGCCAGGGAGCACCAGGGGTCGCAGCAGGGCGCCACAGGGGGCCAGGTGGAGGGTAACGGCGCTAAGGAGGAGCAGGGCGCCCCGCCAGCCGTAAGTATCAAGGAGGAGCTGCAGGGTGGGCGCCAGGAGCAGCGAGGAGGCCCCGTTGCCCGTGAGCGCCAGCCCCACAGCCAAGACTCGACGGCGGGAGAAGTACCGGGACAGCGTCCCGAGGGCCGGGGCGAACACCAGGGCCCAGCCAGAGCCTGCGAACCGACAGGACCAGGTGAGGACAGGGAGCTAGGGCATGCGCCGCAGTGATCCCAGCCCTGACCCTCGCAGGAGGCCCCACCCCCTTGGCCTCCAGCCCCCAGGAAGCGCCCCTCTCCAACATCACCCCTAAAGGACCCGGGTGTCCCGCTCCCCTCACCAGCAAGGACGCCCAGGCCGAGGTAGAGGTGCAGCAGACTGCGGGCGAAAGCCGAGAAGACGAAGCCCAACGAGGTGAGGATGCCCCCGACCATCACCACGGGGCGCGCCCCCCAGCGGGTGCTCAGAGCGCTGCCCACTGGGCCTAGGAGGGGGCGGAGTCAAAGGGAGACACGCCCCTGGGCCCCCAGACTCGAGCCAGCCCTTCTAGGCTGCCTGCCAGGCCTAAGCTCCTCCCCAGCCCAACACCCCCCTCCCCTTGACCTCAAGACCCTCTCTTTTCTAGAACTCAATCCCACCGGCTCCCCCTTTCTTGGGTTGTCTGGTCATCAGGTGGGTCCTCCATCACCACACACACGCTCCGCCAGGCCACCCCGGTGCCCGCCTCCCACCTCGGGGGCCCCCCTCACTGGCTGCCTGCTGCACCGCCAGGGCCAGGGCGCTGACCCACGCAGTGTCCTGAGTGTTCCGGTCAAAGTGCTCCGCGAGGTCAGGGAGGGCAAGGCCCAGGGAGCGCAACAGCCCGTAGGAGAGCCCGTTCACCGCGAAGGCTGCGGCCGCCACCACCCAGCCCCAGCCCCCATCCGGGGGTCCGGCCGGCTTGGGGGTCATCGCCGTCTGGGGAAGAGGGGAACACACTACGTCTGTGCCTCCTCAGGGACCCGGGCATCCCTGAGATCCAGGTTCTGGCCGCTCGCCCAGGGTGGGCACGTCACCCCGAGCACCGCACGGCGCGGGGAAGGGATGGGAACCAGGCCTAGGGCTACATCTCTGGGGTCCGCGCGAGCTCCCGGGCCCGGGTGACGGCCGGATCCCCCGGGCCCGGGACGCCCCCACCCACATACACCCCTGCCCCTTACCCGACCTCTCCGGGCGGCGGGGGAGGGGAAGGGCGAGGAGCAGCTCGGGCCAGGTGTTCTCCCCGCTTGCTGCGCGGGCGGGGCCCCAGCGGGGAGCGAGCGCTGAGCGCCGGGATGGAGCCCCACCTGGACCGGCTCTCTCGGTAAACAGAGATCGCCACTGGGGACCGAGCCACCTGGGACGCGGGGGTGCGGAGGGCGGGGGAGGCGACACCTTCAGCCAATCGGCCGAGCCGCGCGGGTGAGGCCAGCCGCTGAGTCCCACGGGGATTGAATTATCTACACACAATCCTTCCACCCCCGCCCGGCTCAAGCCCACGCACCTGCCGCCTGATGCTCGCGGTGGAGACGCGCGGATTGCCCTCCCGGGCAACCCGGGGCGGATCGGCAACCCTTGCATATCCTCCAAAGTCTGCCGCGATGAGTATTTTTGTTCTCAGGGACCTTTTGTTGGGGGGGGGGGGGAGAGCGCAGATAATTGTCGGATATCATATCACCGACCTCCACTGAGTTCTCATTCTTTGTTCAACAATAACCAGCTCTCAAGGGCCAAGCGGAAGAGGATTCCCCTGTTTTGAGGAGCTGTAGTGTGCCAGGCACTTGATGCAGGTCACCTGTTCATGCTCACATGAAACGGCTGAAGAAGACGCCATGCCCATTTTACAGACGAAGTCACCGAGGAATAGAGTGATTAGGTGCCTCGTCCCCAAAGCACCCAGCTTAAAGATGGTGGAAATATTTGAATTTGGATCTGTCCAAGTGCAGAGGGTACCAGAGAACAGCAATAGGACTGAAACAGAATGCCACAGTGGAGGGAATGGCCTGGGGGCAGTTTGATGCCTAATTGGCCTGGAAATGGCAGGGCCTTTGCAGGGCCAGGGCGTTTACGATTCTAAGAGAAGGGTCACTGGGAAAAAGGAAGGATCCAGAGGATCGGAACCACTGAAGACTCAGATTCAGATTTTAAAAAGCAAAGTAAGAAATCCGAGAAGTGAACCCAAAGCATTAATTTCTCAGCAAACTTTATTTAAAAGTATCCTTTTTACCTCAGGGTTACTTTACTTCAGCTGTTTGAATCAAGAGATGTGCTTTTTGGTTTAATTGTTACACAGTAGCAGAAAATTTGGCAATTTACAGTTTGGAGCCAACCTCCCTGAGAGCCACATGGTGGCAGTGTTTCCTAGTTGTTGAGAACGTATCTGCAACTCGAGTAAAACAACCACATTTCTCTGCTTTGGATATTAGGCTTTGCCTGCCCCAAAGTGCACTCCCTCCACCCCCGCATCCCATCTCCCTCCTCTCTCTCCTGTGCCCTTCTGATAGCCCTAAGCGCCTCACCTGCTCCAAGGACACGCCTAGCTTTTCCTTACCCCTGAATTTGTACATCTGGGCTCCCCTCTCCTTGAAATGTCCTGGATGGAGAACAGGAGTCCCTGAGGGTTGCCAGCTGCCATGTACACCCTAGGAAAGTGATCTCACTGGTTTCTGGGCTCCTATTATGGGAGATACCTGGCAGGTGAAGCTGGAGGAGCAGGAAGCTCACGTCCTGAACTGGCTGCTGAGGACTCAGTCCCAAGCAGAGCCCTCCCCCCGCCCCGCCCCCCAAACAAATCACACCCTCTGCACCATGGAGTAAACATGTAGTGCAAAGAAGAGACTGGGCTTCCTGGGTCTAGGAGACGTACAAAGTGACACCAAGCATCTTTACGGGTTACTTATGAACCCAGAGGGCATCCCAGAGCCTGGGAGTGGGGTAAGTGATCATCAAAAGGGTGGAGCAGGGGTTTAGCAGCGCCTGCGGGGCGCGGGATCCTGGAGACCCGGGATCGAGTCCCGGGTCCCACATCAGCTCCCTGCGTGGAGCCTGCTTCTCCCTCTGCCTGTGTCTCTGCCCCTCTCTCTCTCTCTCTCTGAATAAATAAGTAAATCTTTTAAAAAATAAAAAAACAAAAAACAAAAGGCACGGCCCTGGATGATCATTAGCCCAAATGATCATCACTACACATCTTTTGCCTCTGGAGCTCACACGGCATTGAGGTTGGGACAATGGACTTCCCAAGCTGGACTCTCCGCCAGGTATTAGCTGTAGGATTGTGAGCAAGTTGTGTGCTTCAGCTTCCTCATCTCTAAAATGGGGATCATGAGAGTAGCTACCTGGTAAGGCTGGTACAGGGATGGAATGAGTCATTGTGTAGACACACACGTTTATGGGACCTAGCTCAGTGCCTGCAGTGTGCTATGTGTCAGTCGCTGTTGCTGCGATTATTGGAGGACCCTGGCTGGACCCTCCAGTGCTGCCACCCTCTCCCCACATGGCCACTTCTATTAATGCCTAGACGGAAAAGAACCATATTGGTCTCATGAGTTCTCAGCAGAACTACACAGGTTATAAGATATGAGTGGTGACAAAAAGGTCAAGTGAATTTGTTTTTCCTTTATTTTTTATTTATTTATGATTTTTAATTTTTTTTTGTTTTTCCTTTATGGTGAGCAGTTTTCTTAGCATTTTCCAAAGTTTGTGAGAAAATGCTAGCCTCCCTAACTTGACTATGAACAAAAAAGAAAGGAGTCAAAATAAGCTTTGTTCGTTTGCTCCTTTATACAAAATATTTATAGACACGTACCATGCCAGATGCTATGCTTAGGGCTAGAGATACAACTATGAATAATCCAGTCTCTCCCCTCCGAGCCCCCACAATGAAATTAGGGAAAAGGTGAAATGCAGAGAGCTCAACACAATGAGATGGACACAGACATCACAGCGTGCTGCATGGGAGGAGCTGACTCATTCCACTTGGGCCTGCTGGGAAGGCTTCGCACAAGAGGAGCCCTTTATGCCGGGTCTTGAAGGATGAGTAGGAGTTTGCCAGATGGTTGCGTGGGCAGGGGCATTCCAGGCAATGGGAGCAGCTTGTGGAAAATCACAAAGGCATGAACCAGCTTGGCATATTATTTATTGTTTGGAGAGCTGCAAATAGCAACTCTGTGGAGACGAGAGAGCATGGAGGATAGCACAGGGCAGAGACTCCCATAGTCACAGGTCTCAAAGGCCAGGCTAAGGAATCTAGATGCTTCCCCAGAGACTGATGCTTCACCCAAATTTCCAGTGATGTTAGCATTCACTAGTAGTCAGTGATACTCGATGCTGAGCTGAGAATGGAGACTCCCATCAGCCAGAGTGGGCAAGAAAGTCGGGGGTCATATACCTTTTCTTGATGTGGGAAATGTCTTTGAAACATCTTGTCTTACCTTGAAAATTCATGTGGACATTTGCATCCTACTTCATTCTGCTTCATAATCTTTTTTTAAAAAGATTTATTCATGAGAGATGGAGAGAGAGGCAGGCTCCCTGCGGGGAACCCGATGCGGAACTCGATCCCAGGACCCCAGGATCACAACCCAAACTGAAGGCAGATACTCAGTCACTGAGCCACTCAGGGGCCCCCATAATCTTCTTCTTCTTTTTTTTTTTTTTTTAGTTTTATTTACTTAAGTCATCTCCACACCCAACATGGGACTCAAACTCATAACCCCAAGATTAAGAGTGGCATGCACCAGCCAGGCACCCCCTCTACTTCATAATTTTCGATGTGTGGGAAAATAACGCTTTAAATGACTAAGTAAATTATTTTTCTCTCCAGGTCCTCACTGGTGATGCAGTGAAACACCCTGCAAGAGCAGTCATGGCCTGTCCCCACCCACTGCCAATCTGCAGTGGGCGCCTCCCTTGGGACAGTACTGAGCCAGAGACTCTTGAAACGAGCAGACCCAGGGCCTGGTGCTCCTCGGGATGGGGCGGAATCAAAAGGAGCAGCTCTAAGGGACCAGCCTGCCCACGTGGAGAAAGCCCCAAAAACAGATGCTGAGCCAGAGCAGGTCTTTAGAGATCAAAAGGGAGGGTCCAAGTCTATACATGATAATTCCCTTTGGGGACCATGGGATCTGGGAGTGCATCTGTGCCTGTGAACTCTAATACTGCTTTGGGCCTTTCTCATGGAAGCGCCTGCAGGAGGTCCTTGGGGGGCAGGGGAAGCCTCAAGCTGCACCCAGCCATTCCCTAGGTCTACTGGCTGGGGGAGGGGGTCCTCTGCAAAGGTGGGTGGGTGGGAGGGAAGAGGACAGGCAAGGAAATAATGGCTGTACTTGAGGTACACAAAAATATGAGGCTTTCTGGAGTTTGGTCCAGCTGACCCAGGGCCTCTAAGTGCCTAATAAAGGGGACTCTTACCCCTCACCCCCCAAATCTTCTTCTTCAGCTCACCCAGAGACCAGACTTTGGGAAGTCAACCTAGACCTCAAGGGCCAGACCCAGGGCCTGGAAAAGTGGGAGAAAACAGAGCATAAAGGTCAGGATTCATGGTTCGGAGCCAGGGCAGCACATCTGCTGAGATGCTCTGGGAAGAGGGTGTAACGAAGCATGGGGGCAGCAGGGGGGGCACCCACGGGGCTCCATGTGTGCAGGGAACCAGTCCGCTTGGGTGGCCGTGTATGAATGAAGATCTGAGCTAGGCCCCCCACCCCCACCCCCCCAAATGGTGGGGGGAAGGGAGGGGGCTGGGGTGGGGGGGTAGTAAGGAATTTGCTGAGTCTGCAGCTGGGGGAGCCTGGTGATGGGATCACAGTCAGAAGCTGCGACACAGAGCTGAGGCTGGAGCCTAGACCTGGGCTGGGCTGTGCAGGCAGCGAGTCCTACCCCACCTTACCTACTCCCCCTGCCAAGTTTGTCTCCTGTGTCTCTTCTAAGTCTCTCTGCCATCACCCCTCCCCTGTGTCCCCAGACACCTTCCCAAGCTAAAGGTCTGTAACCTCTGGTGTCTGGGTCTCTCCGGACAGCCCAGTTTCCAAGGCCAAAGGATCGGGATGGTGGGAGTGCCTAGCTAAAAGCCTGGTCTGCGTTTCTAAATGTCCATATGTATCTTATCTGGCATTTTCTGGTTCTAGGACTTTAGCTAACGTCTGTGTCAAAGTTCTTTTTTTTTTTTTTTTAAGATTTTATTTATTTGAGAGAAAGAGAGAGCATGAGCAGGGGGAAGAGCAGAGGGAGAGGGAGAAGCAGGCTCCCCATGGAGCAGGGAGCCTCAATCCCAGGACCCTGAGAACATGACCTGAGCTGTAGGCAGACGCTTAGATGACTGAACCCCTCCAGGTGCCCCCAAAGTTCTTAGTTATAGGCTGTGGTCACTAACCCTGACTCAAAGAGAGAAATGATTGGTCACAGGATACTAAGTAGTCTCAGAATTACCCAGAAGGCTACAGAACCGGGCAGAACATGGGCTGCCCCAGGCCTAAATGAGTTGCCAAGGCCACTGTTGTCACCACTGGATGCTAGACGTTGCTTCTGGCTCTCTGCCACCACTGAACCTGGAAACTGCTGCTGCTACTACTGCTGCTGCTGCTGCCACTGCTCAGAGCATTCTCTGCTTCACTCACCATGAGCTCCAGATTTCGGTCCAGGGTCTGTGCTCCTGATCACCCAAACCCCGGTCACGGGCTCTCATCGTAGGTGGAAGGGACATTAGGAGAGAGAGAGCACCTGGTACTTTATGCATCCACAGATAGATGGATCCTTCCTCCCATCAAGGGGAGCATTTGGAAAGCTTCTAGCCCCAAGCTCTGTGTACTCAGGGATAAATCTGCTCTCCTCAAGGACAACAGGGAAATAAACCCAGAAGTCACAAGCTACCTAAGAACAGCCAGGCTTTACGTACTGTCAATCATGTCTCAACACAGCATAGAACAAAGGTAGGTTCCCCTCCAGTCTGTTTCCTCCCATTCTTCTGGCCACAGGCAGTCACCCCATCATTACCCCCTCACCTTGTCCAATGCCTCCTGTCTTGAGAGGGGGAGGCCTGTCATTTCCCCTCTGCAGTAACCCAACCTCTTAGCTACCTCTGCATTTGCGGGGCCCCTGTCTGCCTTCCCAGCCCCAGGTGAGACCTCGCCTCCAGCAGCCTCTTAGGAGACTCAGCTGACAAGCCTGGGATCTGCCCTCAGGCTACCGGGCCCTGGAATCTGCCTCCCAGCTGAGCACCATCAACCAGGACCAAAGCCAAGGTGGGAGGAGACTGGGAGTCAGAACAGGTTTTCCCGTCCCTGCAGGGAAATAACTTAGACATCTTGGCGCTCGTACATGTGTCAGATGGAGTTCTGGAGGCCAAATGAGCAGAGGGGGCCTGTTTCCTTTCCCCCTTGTGAAGACACTGGAGGAGTTGGGTGGGCGAGTCTCAAAACTGCCAGGAGGGTCTGCGGCCCCGAAAGGCCCTGATGCTGGACTACCTCTTCTTGTCTGTGTGCAGGGAGTAAGTAGTATCTAGGCCCCCAGCAGAGCTCCTCTTGTCTGACCCAAATTCCGCCTTTCCCCATACTCCAGCGTCACCACCTCTGCAAAGCCCTCTCCTGCCTCTCTCTACTTCCCCAAGGCTTTTCAAGTCCTGGGCAGTCTCTCTCCTTAAGGGCTCCTTCCCTCTATCCCATCAGGCAAGCCATTTACTGAACCTTCTTCCCCAAGACTCAAATCTGGTCTTCTCCCTCTTTCCTGATTTACAACCAGAACCTCTGGCAGTGGGACGAATCCTAGTTGAAAGCACATATGTAGTAGTGATAACTACTGTCTATTTGAACACGGTGGTGGCAGCAGCTGGCCTGGAAGGAGGTCACATCTGGGTGGATCAACAGAGGTGAAGGCAAGGCCTTGGGCTTCTGGCTGACCAGCTATCTAGCAGAGGCAGCCTGATTTATGGGTTATGGGCCTACTCCTCCTGGACCCGGAGATCTGGGAGGTGGGAATTTGGTGCTAAGGACTCAGGGACAGATGTTTGGGGACAGTAGCCAGTGATTGCTGAGAGCAGTGAACAGTAGTGTGGGGTAAGAGCAGAGCCTGAGCTCCCTGGTATGTAAAGCCCGGCTGTTATTAGGTGGCTTGTGATTTCTGCGTTTATTTCCCTGTCGTCCTTGAGGATAGCAGATTTATCCCTGAGTACACAGGGCTTAGGGCTAGAAGCTTTCCAAATGCTTACAGATAGGTTACAGACCTGAGATAAGTTTATCAAGTCTAAAATACAAAAAGAAACCAGCAAACACCTAAATACATATTTAAGTAAATGTACACAAAATATAATATTAGTCAATCAACTTCTTTGTCAAATTTCATATTCCTAAAATTTCATTACGTTGGAAAACAATTTGTGGGGTAGTTTTTCTCACTTCCTAGGATTTATCCTAAATATTCATGGATTCAATCAGTTTCTTGTAGGCAATTTTTAAAAAGGAAAATCCTTTCAAGAATCTTAACAGCTAAAAATAGAGCTACCCTATGACCCAGCAATTGCACTACTGGGTATTTACCCCAAAGATATAGATATAGTGAAACAACAGGACACCTGCACCCCAATGTTCATAGCAGCAATGTCCACAATAGCCAAGCTGTGGAAGGAGCCATGATGTCCTTCAACAGATGAATGGATAAAGAAGATGTGGGATACACACACACACACACACACACACACACACACACACTGGACTATTAGCCACCAGAAAAGATGAATACCTACGATTTACATTGACGTGGTTGGTACTGGAGAGTATTATCCTGAATGAAATAAGTCAATCAGAGAAAGACAGTTATCATATGGTTTCCCTCATATGTGGAATAGAAGAAATAGTGAAAGGGACCATAAGGGAAAGGAGAGAAACTGAATGGGGAAAATTAGAGAGGAAGACAAACCGTGAGAGACTCCTAACTCTGGGAAAAAACCAAAGGGTTGCAGAAGGAGAGGTGGGTGGGAGGATGGGGTAACTGGATGATGAGCACTAAGGAGGGCAGGTGATGGGATGAGTACTGGGTGTTATACTATATGTTGGCAAATTGAATTTAAATTTTTAAAAAAGATGTTCACAAGCATGATAAAAGATGAGGAATAAGACAGACATGGTACATTTTTCAAAAAAATCTTAACAGCAAACATTTTATGTTTTGTGCGGAACCTAAGTGTATTTTACTACACACAATATTGACAGGTTAAAAATATATATATATCTATTGACAGGTTACAAGGCCCCTGTAACCAGACGGGCTAGGTTTAGATTCTGGCTTTGCCACCTACCAGCTGTATGACCTAGAACAAATTATCTAACCTATCTCTGCAATAGTTCCCTCATCCATAAAACAGATAATGGTAAGATAGCACCTACTTCTGAGAAGAAAAGGTGGTGATGACGATGATGATGGTGGTGGTGGTGATGACAGCACCTTGTTACTATCAGCACAGCTTCGTGGGGTTGTTGTGGAGATTGACTTAATATTTGTAAAGCATTTGGAATAATTCCTAGGTAAGAAGGAAGCTCTTAAGAGTTTATTTGTTTAAATAAACAAATGTGGGAGAGCTGGGGATTCCTCAGTGTTTGCTTATGTCTTTAAGAATGTTCCATCCCAGGGGCACCTGGGTGGTTCAGCTGGTTGAGCATCTGACTCTTGATTTTGGCTCAGGTCACAATCTCAGGGTCATGAGATGGAAACCTGTGTCAGGCTCTGCGCTGGGTGTGGAGCCTGCTTGGGATTCTCTCTCTCCCTCTGCCCCTCCTAACCCCTCCCTGATCATGCTCTCTTGCTCTCAAAAGAAAGGAAGGAAGAAGGAAAGAAAGAGGGAAAGAAGGAAGGAGAGAAAGAAAAGAAAGTTCCATCTCAGTTTACCTGGGCTACTGAACCTAAAGAGAGTGTTGTGTGCAGCCTCAGGCCATGAAAGGAGCTATGTACACTCAAGAGGACATGACTGCCAAGTGGCCCTCAAGCTCGACCCAAGCTAGTTCTCTCTTTCTTGAGAGAACAGTGTGTTTTTGAGACCATCTGGCCTGGATATGTGCATCAACCCTGTCAAGGCTTCTATATAAACTTTTAAGATTCTGGAAGGCAGGTGCAGAGATCTACTCATCTTGCTGCAGCCCAAGACCAGCCCCACATGTAAGATTAACATGCTGATTAAACCTGCCACCTACCAATCTGGGGCGGCCATCTCATTCTTTGGTGTCTCCCTGCCCTTGTGTCCAGGAGCCAGTTTCAGATCTCACCTGGGAAACTCTTGAAGTTGCAAATCAAGAGACCTGCTGGGCTTGAGCAGCCTTAGGCTCTGCTGCCCCGCTCTACACCTGTTACCCACCCCATCCCTTCAGTGTCTCATGGTCTCTCACTTTCACATTTGTCTTTGTCTTCAGCTATAGGTCCAACTTCTCCATGATGCCATCCGGTATTGGGGATGGTGATGAGAAGTGGCAGTGCCCAGAAAGCTCAGTGGATGGCCATTCCTGGTAACGTCAGCCCCAGAAGGAAGGGAAGACTGTGTTGCCTATGATCACAAACCCTTCAGAAGAGCACGGGAAGTGTGCTCATTGGCAGCACAAACTATCTGTATTGGTTATGATGTTTCTGGCTGCAAGTTACAAAAGACTCCAACTCGGCTTGGACAATCAGAAAGCATATTATCTCACATCTCAATGAAACTAGAGGTAGGAATACTCACAGTTAGGAGGTCAATGGCCCGACAACATCATC